TCTGTCAACAGTTGAATATATGACTTTTGTCTGCTATGTGATGTAAGCAGTTTTTGTGGTTGGCAATTAATTACAAACTTCTTTCTTGCATCAGCACACAAACTTCAAGTTTAACATTTGATAATGATTGGGAAAAACCAAGCATTTTGTTTTTGATTGGCATCATAATGCTTTGTTTTCTCAGCTGTTTTCAGCATGTTAAGTCTTGACTATGGCAACTTGGAATTGTTTTCCTTACATTGAAATTGTATCCACGTTTTGTATACAGAGCCCAAGGGAAAAGTTGCCATGTTCATCAGCATGTATTCATGGTAGTTTCCCCTACAGATGTGCCTAAACAAGCCGCTTTCTAGTTCTGTGTAAGCGAGAAGCCTTCTCCATTCAGCTTGGGCTGCTTTTGCAGAACAAATTAACCAAGTTCTCAATTTCTATTATCTTTTGCTGAGCAGACTCAAAGAAGTACACAGCTCTGAAAGGAGGCTGAGACTGGGACATGTGTCCTTGGGGCCCTGTGTAATGTCCCTATTTCTCCTGACATTGTCAGTACCTGTTTACTGTATACAGCGGGGGATATTTGCCCTGTGTTGTGGGGTGGGGGACAGGAGGGGACATGTACACAGACCTCAGGTGTATACAGGTACCTGTGTATTATCACATGGGGTGGATAAAGTTACGTCTTTTAGCGCAGTAACACTTGTAAAAACAGTTTCTAAGGTGCCAAGCAGTCTCGTGCAGTTCTGCTATTTTTTAAACATTACATGTTACCCGTAATGACTTACCCTCCCTTCTTGTATGGTCTAGTACGGTAGACTGCTGTAAATGTATTTTACTAGATAGTGACTAAGTAGTGAAATTACAAGGAACTTCAGGACAAGGCTCCTCACTAGTTCTCTTAAGTAGTCTTTGCTGTTCGTATACATGTACATTTTTGTTCAGGACTTGAAATAGCACCTGCTGACTGCTGATGTATTTATGAATGAAATCTGATGTCTACCTGCACCCGCAACAGTACAAACTCACAAAGATGCATCCCATTTTACAGGAGTGTAGACTGACACCAGGCCCACCTCTTTATAAGTGATACAGGTAAAATTTGTCTGGTTCAGGTAATTTTGAATGCTGAAAAAAAAACTATTTCTAGTCCTGTTCCATTCTTAACTGAATGATGGTATATTTTTGCACATGATTGATCTAGGCTGTGCAGAATTCACAGCTGATAGGAACTACCCTGCCGGTAATGTGTGATCCCATGATGTATGGAAGCCATGATGGTGATGGTCTGTGATGGATACGTTTATGACCCCATACCTAGAATCCAATTTCAACAGAAATTGAAGCACCAAATTTCACGCGCTGTCTGCAGCCCTGTTGGCTCGCAGAGGACATTTGTCTTCTCTTTGCTGGTCGGTAGACCAAAATCTGCATTCAGCTGAAATGTGTTTTTTCAAATTTAAAATGCCTGTGTTATAAAATCATTAATTTCCCTGGGAAGTAGACTCCTGGACCTGGACTGCTGTAGATTTCTTGTATGAAACACTTTGCCTTCCCCCTCCACAATACAGGACCTCTGCAGCTGAGTCTTGTTGCAGGAATGCTGGCCTAAATTGATCTTGGATCCTTCTATCTTTAGACTAAAAAGCGAAGAGATTTGGTGTAAGTGCTGGGTGCATCCCTGCCCAGCGTGTTGCTAGCGCGCTGGCATGTGTCCAACAAGGGGGCAGTTGTGACATGTGGTAAGAGGAACCCTCTGTGGTGTTAGGTGATAGGGTTGTGGGTGATATCAGCCCGCCATAATTAACACTGGGCAGAAAGAACTGGATCAGGATGATACCTGGTTGTGTTGCTAATTGAGGTCAGGCCAGCCAGGTGAGCTGTGTAACAGTCAGCATTTTTTTTACCCTGGGTCTGCCATGGACGCTTAGCTTTCTACGACATGTGTAGTTGGGATTGTGGACATGGAATGCATATAGTTTGAAGAAATTTGATTTCATTGGACTTGGCCCAAGAAGAATTCCTTAGAATTTTTGACATTTTGGATTAAGGGTCGAGAATGTTCAAACCTGACCCTTATTGCAGTTTATTGTAAATTGACTTAATTTTGTCGTAGGAGGAGAAAAGAGGGATTTTCGGCATTTTAAGTTTGCAGTTGAAATATATAGTACATGGGATACAATGCAAGTACAACTTACCTTCTTTGTGTCGTTGTGTGTGTTTGTGTGTGTGTGTTTGTTTCTGATCTATCAAGGACCTTGGATCTATATATTATAAAAGCAGTGAATCCTTCCCATCGCTGTTGGCTTGGTTTTACAACTAGATAGAAGCTCCCCCTTATGGATCTGAGTATAGCTGCAGGTACATGGACAGCATTCCATACATGCAACTTCTTTTCCTTGTTGATGTTTCTTGGTGACATTCTTCGTCCCTGCCAGGTTGGTACATAGCTGTCATGGCATGTTGCAGTTGGCAGAACAAAGATATGCCAGGCTCTTCACTCAGCTATATGTTGCCCAGAATTCTGGACACCCGACAGATAATTGCCCTTGTACTAGGATTGGTAGGAAGGAATCGATACAAGCAAGTACAAGCAGTTGTTGTCACATTGCTGCTATTGAATATCTTTACCATGTTTGGTATCATCAAGCAGCTATTTTGAATATCTACTGCTAGCTTTTCAAGGTACAGAGAGGCTACTCAGAATGTCAGTAAGTATGTAACTTGAAAGGTAACAATCATGTTTCTATCTGAAGGCCTGCAAGAGCATGTGTAGGAATATCTAGCCTGTGACCTTTTGACTCTACCAGTGCTTTACTTTACCTTTTCGGTATAAATCAGTAAAAGATTACAGGAGAGATAGGAGAACACATAGACAGGTTGTTAGCCAGGCTGTGGTGACAGTGAGGTGATTGGCATGGCAAGCCTGCCCTTTGCACCTTGCCAATGTCTATTTGTGGTGGAGAAGTGTAGTCTAGATGACCCAAGCTGCCTGTATGTGGGTTTTGAGTCAATATTGTGCTTGCTTAGGAATGCATGGTGTTTGGGAAGCAGGTAAACCATTAACAGGTGCCGCTCTACCCCGGCTAATTAGCTTTCCTCAGGTATGCAACCAGGATGGTACTGTTAGAACATGTATATATAAATGAAGGAGCTCTTTTACAGCATGGATAAAACAGATTAGCCTTGTGCAGCAAACACCCATGGAAAGTCAGGTATGGTGAGACACCCTGTTGTTTGCTGTTGTATAGGTGTTTTAACATGGATTCAAGAGTCTGTCTTTGCTCTGTCTGTTTTTTTGGTGTCCTTTATTGCGTCTTGCAGTTGAGTATTGCTAAAGCAATACATATCAACAACAGTATAACTATAAGGTAAGACTAAGATAGGACCAATTGTGGTATCAAGGAAGGAATAGTTGTTTCCCAGGTGTACTATACGGCAGGTAAGACAGGATACACCTTGATTCAAAGTCTTTGTGACTGCCTCATCTCACCTACATAGCCATTTTTAAGTACTGGTTCAAACACTTTTTTCCTTTTTTTTTGTTTCACAAAGGGTTACTTGTTTTTAGCCCTGACAATAAATAATCATTTATGTATGAACCATTACCGGAAGGTTATTCAAACCTATGTAGAAACGGTGTAGCCTGAGTGTCAGCCTTGTTAGCTTTCGTCCGCTACCCAAGGTCCGCTCCGGGGAGCAGACCTTGGGTAGCGGACGAAAGCTAACAAGGCTGACACTCAGGCTAGAAACGGTGTGGGCTAAATACCAGAGTTTTGTACTACATGTACTTTGTGTAAGTGGCCTGTTTGAACATTTCCAGACCATAGTTGTCCATAGGAGCTTTGCACTGTCATTTGGGTCCTTTCTCTCTTGTTTGTCTCTTGTATTTGTTCCCACTTAATCTGAGGCCCAGTTGTGTGGATTGTAACACAAGTCCAAGTATCCCTCTGCTAGCAACATCAAAGGCAAGCTACTTTTTTTCCAAAGGAGTGACTGAGATCACATGGTGACCCCATTGTTTATGTTACCACTTCGGTGAGTGAATGGGAGCCATGTTCTCCATTCAACCATCTAACATTCACCTGACATCCCACCCCAACCAATTGGCCCCCCTTTGTTCCCACCACAAGGCTATAAGGTTATATCACTCACTCACCCCATCAGTCTCTCAATCTGAACCCATCCATGTTAGCGTCTCTCCATTTCTTCCTGCCCTTCATTGCAGCAACCAGGCTATAAGGTTGTCTACAGTACTACAAGTACAGGATATTTCCTCACCTGGCCAGTACAAAGTGTAGGTAGCAGTTTTGACTCTTGAGCACTGCTCCTATGCAAAAGTTGATTACCTATGCCAAGAAGGTTATGTTTTTCTTAGGTGGTAAATGGTGTTTGCAGTTTTGTAGTACTGTAGAATAGCATAACGAGTGAAGTGGTGGACTGTCATACAATTTAGCATGTGGTTTAGTCTTGACCGTTCAAAGAAATGATTAGATTTTGAGCCTGCTTCCTAGTTCCAGTCAGTGGACTGTATTCAGTACCATGTATCTCTGTCAGACACGCTGTTGTGTTTCCTTTTGAAATGATGAAATATCGATGTAATACAAATTGACCACTCGTTAACGACAGACTGTTTCCCCTGTTATTGATTTTGTTCGTACTTAAGCTTCTCACATGTATCAAACAGCATTGGAGAAAACATTAGAGTTCAGATATTGATACTGATAAATGACCCTCTTTAGACTTGCTCCCTTTGTGTAACAGTAATTGAAAGACATTTTTCTTTTCAGAGTTTTCAGTGTTTGTGTGTGTGAGTGTATGTATGAATGTTGGTAGTATAACTCTCTAGTCAAGGGCCTTAAGCTTAACTGTAATATTGATATGTTTTGTTCAAAAAAATATCACAAAACATAATTTTTATACTTCTATAGTAACTCAAAGTAAAAAGTGTCAGTTTGATAAAAGGATATAGACACAAATCTAAAACACATCTTGTCTGTTGTGTGCAGGTAATCCTGAGGGTGTACCTCAGCAACAATAACCTGACTGTAGCAGAGGTGCCCATCACACCAGAGACAACCTGCCGGGATGTAGTGGACTGCTGCAAGGAGCCTGGAGAAGTCAACTGTCATCTGGCCGAGCACTGGAGGGGCAGCGGTGAGTGGTTCATAGCTGACTTCAAAGGAGTATGATAAAGGAATACGTACTGCAAATTATGAATTCAGTTAACACTAAAGCTCTAGCCTATGCCAGGTCCCCCAGGTTGCGATTTCTGGCAGGCTAACTTCTCTGGCATGTCAGTCAGTCTATTTGACTAGTTTCTGCTATTTTTCCATCACCCCCGGGAGAGACTAAGAAAGTTCCAGTTTCAGACATTATGTAATGGTTGGTCCTTTCTTTTATAGAACGACCAGTGGGTGACGACGAGCGTCCGTTTGACATCCTGCAGCAGTGGGGGATCCACAGGGACGAGGTGAAGTTCTACCTACGACACGAGGGAAACATGCCTACTGCTAACGGTGGAGAACAAGGTCAGAATCACTCACTAAAACTAAAAAAGGTATTCTGCATGTCCAGGGCTCGAAGTATACGCACTTGTTATACGCACTTCCTGTGTTCAATATGATATAGAGACTGTAATCAAATACCAGTAGCAGTTTTCAGTGGAGCTAGCTCAGCTCCAAGGGCACATATTTCTACAAAGATCATGGCCAATGAGAACTCCAGGGTAACGGCACACACCAGTTTCCGCAGTACGATTATTGTACGGAAACGTCCCTACCCCATGTGTCAACTGTGATCTGCATCACTGCCATTCCATCCTGGGGTCCACCAGGTATCCTGGAGACAGGCACATGTCCTACAACATGCACAAGTCCTATGTAACCCTATGTACCAGTCCTTACCAACTTTAACTTGTGTAAATCTTGACCAAAACCGCTTAGGCCAAACCAATCTATTTTCTTGGTTCATTTCTTGGACATTCTTTAGCAAAAGTTCAGCTATTGTGTGATGAAGACCAAAATGACTGGAAATCTGCTTGAGTGGAAGGCAGTCAAAGATATTTCTGTCACATCCCATTCCTGGTTCTTGATGAAGCTACAGAAAGTGTTTGTAGGTGTGAGTGATGTTGGCCAGAGTTGGAGGCATACCTGGTTTTTGATAGCACAGGCGCCATACTGTTGGAAACAGGCTATGTGCTGTATCTGGTCTGTGTTCTCCTATCAACACCAGGTCTGGGTAAATTTACTTCATGTTCTGCTTCTTGTTTCTGTTAGAAATGAGGCCACACAAACAGCTGTCAGTAAAAGCCTAAATCAATACATTGATACCAAAAGTATAAGTGCCTGTTGACCAATCAGAGCATGAAATGCTTACCTTCAGGCAGTAAATTAATTGTAGGCAGAAGCTAAAACTACAGGTTGAAAGTATAGGCACCTCAACTATTGCTGATAAAAAATCACAGGCTGGATGTAGTAACCAATTACCATTTACTAGTCAAATTCTATATAACTAAGTTCACTTAGAATCAGCTAATTTTTATAGATTACATTCGACTTATAGACTTTTTGTTGTACTTGCATAAAACACCACGATTCTGTTGTTTGGACTCACCCTTCTGGATCATAGCTATTGAATAAGAGAACTGTCAGTGGCATTGTGTTTTTTGATTTACAACTCTTGTGCTGACAAGAAATTTGAGACTGTGAAGTGACCTTGCAGAATGTTACACTAGCAGGGTCATTTCACGTAGGAAAACATCCTGCCTGGCGTCAATGTTAACTTCCTCCGGGCTCGAAATACCCACCTGCAACCTGCAGTTTGCAGAAGATATATTAGTAATAAGATTTCAGGTAATTTTACATATATTAACCACTTACAATCTTGAATACTAATAAGAAAATTCCAGCAATGATAGTATGAATCTGAACTGAAGCATGAAACATGAATCTGCACAACACAATTTATCCCCGATCTAGCAGCATACTAAAGCTTGTAGGTAGTAGCTTGTGAGGATTTGCAGTGCACTGTTCTTGTGGTGTCCTATTACAGGCATTGTAAACTTTCTGACAAACTGCAGTATTTGCTGGCAGTGGAAAGAATATTTCGAGCCCTGCATTCACAGGCACATGACCGTCATCCCCCTGTTTATTTGATCCCATGGCAAGTTCATAAGATGATTAGCAAAACATAGACGGCCTACGTGAAGGCTTTTCAACAATTTGGCTCAAGCCAAGGCTGCCCGGCTATGTGCAGTTCCCAACTGCTGTCCTGTCCCTGTAAACTCACACTGCTGCTGCCCTGCATAATCAGTCGGACAGCCTATAATCTGTGTGGGTGACAAGACCAGCACGGTATGATTACAGGTGGCAGTACTGGTGTTACTCTCACACCTCCTGGTTACATGTCGTCCTGCTGGTGTTGTGATGGTGTGAGGAGGGGCTTTGCGTGTTGGAAGTTGAGCGTGATTCGGATGTTTGCCTAACGGCCAGCTGTCATAGTGCTTTTTTTCCTTCCGTCTGTCTGCAGGATCCAGGCAGCCCAAGAAGAAGAACGGAGTGAAGGAGGCCAGCCCCGAGAGCCAGGTTAGTAACTTTGTTTTCTTTGAAATTACAGGTCTGTGTTATTATGGCATTCCACTGTGGCAGCTACATGGCTTCACTATGCTCTCAAGTTTGTTGAAAAATCAGGACAAGCAAGCAGATTTTTTATCAAAGGTGGAACGCCAAATCAAAATATGTCCTATATACTATAGGATGAAAGTGCAATTTGGTAGCATACTGGCTATTAGGTATGTGGGTTGTAATGTCATCTTTATTGACATGTGGTTAACTGTTCATATTGTAAGCATTGACCTGGCTATCTGCAGATGTTTGGGCTTCTTGGTATCACAGTTGCTAATGTTGCATATTTACATAAATTTTTATACCTGCCTGCATCTTGGTTTTGTATCTTACTGCTATCTTAAAACAAATCTGTTTAGGTGATAGGTAATTGTTAAGTCACCTGTGATAAATGAGGAGACCATACCAATTACCTGTGGACACCCCTATTAACCTACCAGGACTTCTCTGCTTTCACTGTTGGAAAATGAAACCCCTGATAGTCAATGATATCCTGGAGCCTGTTATATACAGCCAGGGACATTTGTTTAGACCTAGACAGGGTAGGATTTGTTACATTACTGACTTCCTGTGGTCTATACCCAGGTAGTTATCCCATTTCTGTCTTAAACTATTTATAGAAAGTTGAAAGACAGTCCTTTTTACCCCAATCAGATAGGTTTGGGCACTGTAGATATAGAGCTTGCCTGTAAGAGTGTATTGATGATGGTGTTACTGATTGTGACTCTTCTTGACATGTCAATCAAAGTGCATTGCATTTATATGGTTGATGTAGCAACTATAAGGTTGATGTAGTTGCTGCAAATGTTATATCCATATAGTTGATCCACATTGAGCCAAGAGTTACCATATGTATCCTTACTGTAATCACTGGGAGAGACTCTATCAAGTCAGATATGACAAGGGGATTACATACCATTCAGGCTATAAATGTTCACAAAAGACGCAAACGAAATGGGCTTCTTGTCTTACTTCATTCCACCAGAAATAATCTTCCATTCACACCCAGTAGTGAGGTATGTAGTAAGAACCGTACTGTCAGCGGAAATAGCAGGTTCTGCGCAAAAGTAGCTCTAAATAGCAGTTACTAATGAAGTGCATCAGCCTCCACGACACTGGCATTCTTGCGACCTTGCACCAGCACTAATGAGCAAACGGGTCTCCAGACCCAAGGTCAAACAACACAGGCCTTAGCTGCTGCTGCGTCCAGAAAATTTCACAGTAAATCTACAGGAAACATAGAGCCAATAGTCCTCCTACTGTGCAGAACATCAGGGATTTGTGATAGGTAATATGTTTCTGGTCCCTCAGCTCTTGATTCATATCATGGAAGGGAACTGGGCCATCCTTTAAATCTGTCTCATAGTGCTTTGGTTCATGATTCAAGCTGTAGTGTGTAATTTCATGTAAGGCTATACTCTCAGGTGCTACACAGCAGTATGCCTGAGGAGTGATTAGTGCTTGTGCATATAGTTTCATATTCAGTGGGATGTATAGGTTTCAATTGTGCCAGGGGAACATCAATAAGGGCTAAAGGTGGTTGCTTATTAAAAGCCACCACTGGATAGCATTACCAGTAAATATGATTAACTGCATTCTATCTCACCATTAGAGCAATCAGAAACCCCATGACTGTTTATTATGTCATTTTTGTAAGAGCATAAAAGCCCCATTGAAATTCAGCTATCATATCTCCCAAATTACTGGGTCACTCACAGACTCACACTAAGTGCATTTAGACAGATGAAACCATTACCATACATACCAACCCTATTACCGAGGGGTGGAATATCTTCAAGCCAGCCTTTGTCAGGAGAAACTTGTCATATTTTCCATGAAAGCAGCAGCTGTGTAGGGATGGAGTTGATTGGTTAATGGGCAAATTTGTCTTGATCTCCATAAATCTGTATGGATGGGCTGTTCAGACCACTTGATGGTTGCCTCGCACCTGCTCCATCATGCTTCTTCTCTATCAGGAACAAGTGGATATTATGGTACATGTATAACAGGAGAATTTAAGGTTGGTCTCAAGTTAAGTGCTTTGATATCCATATATATAGCAAAAGTGTGCTTCACAATACATATAAAGGGATGGTGATGCTGTATTATGCAAATTATCAATGATTGAGCTGTAGATTTATTACTTTCAAATTTCCAGGAGATTTTGTATATGACCCATAATAGAAGCCATTAAGGTTGATGGGAGGGTGTAAGCTGATATGCAAACATTTTGTATCACCATGATTATGAGTAATGTTTATGTAACAACTGTTGGATAGGTGCAGCGTTTGATTTTGTTAGACTTTTAAGATTTTTTTGTGTTTTTCAATTTTTTGTTGTTGCAGTTTTAGATATTTTGCTTTCAGTTTTCATCCAGGTATAATCTATAGATTTTGGGCTACTCATGATGAACACATTGATCATAAGATGTAACAGCAAAACTTCATCAAACTAAGGAGTGTAGCTGGCACCATATACAGTTTTGTTTCCTGCATGTTGTATCGTTTCCATCTCACATGGCTTTTATAAGCCCTTTCAATATCAGGGTCACCTCCTGTTGGCGGATAAAATCAAGTGGACTTCCCTCTGTAAATGTACCAGATGGTTCCAAAAACTTGGTCACAAACAGCTGAGATTTCTCAATGTACCTTATCAAGCCGACCTCCAACCTCCGCCAGCCTTCATCATCGAATGGAACCACGGGCATGTTTGTGTTCCTGTTTTCTTATTGGCTGTTTGTTGGTGGGGTGGGGAGCTGGGAGAGTGATTGACAGGAGCCAGTTGCCAGTTTGGCACGGGCAGACAGGCGGGTAATCCATCACACCCCCCTCCAGGCCAAGTCAAACTGTGAGGCACTGATCAGGTTCCCCCCACAACTACCCAGCAAGGACTGGCCTACACCCTGACTTCTCTGCCCTGATATCACAGTCTGGTGCGCTGCCCGTACCATGGAACACCTGCGTGAAGGCTAGGGAAAGTTCTTGGGATCGTGCCGCACTGATGCACTGATGTCGCTGGAGAGGAGGAGGAAGAGGGTAAATCTTCCCACTAACTTGTTTCATCAGACCGCCCCCTGGTCTATTTATCTCATCTGTTTGTGTACGCCACCAGGCACAGATGTTGCCAATAATACTACTGGAGCTGCCTGTTTATGGAGGGGAAGGCTTTTACCACTTTGGAAGAATCATAAATCTTCTTGGGAATCATCCAATTTTACAAGAGCCTGTCATTTGTGTAGCAATTGGATTACTGTTTGGGAACATACCCTGCACTTCAGTGTGACATGTTTTGCCTTACGTTAGCTCGGAAATAGCATGTCTTGCTCCCCGTTGTTACACCAAAACTGGCCGTGCATATGTGAGCTGCTCTGATGTAAATATTTTCCAAAATAGATGGGTAGTGTTTGTTCACTGGTAGAAATGTCTTCTATAAAATCTGTCTAGTTTCTTCTTTGCCAGATTGTGTACTACTGGACAGGGTTGGTTGTTACTGCCTTACTGTAGCTCATGAATGTTTTCCTGAGGCTAAATATCAATTACTGCCAGACACACTGCTGTTCGATGTCTGTACTGCAGGCTTTGGTCTTATGCACAGACCACTGAAGTATTCAATCTTTTCTGTACCATTTTTTGTTATAAACCATGTCTGAGGGAGGTTTGACAACATGCCACAACTGTGACATGTGGTTATTCCAGCTTCCTAGTTTCTACTGGGACTTTTTAGGTTAGGAGACTGAGATCACATATAACAATTTATATACAGTTTTCTCAATTATATTTGTTTTCAGCTTCAGGATCAATGAATGGATTAAAAATTAAAAACAGAAACTATTTACTGAATCGAAATGTTGATCTGACAAAATTGTTGGAAAATTTCCAAAAGCAGTTTGTGTATTTGTAGAGTCTGTATTGGTATTGCATAACTATTTCAACACCTTGCGCTATTCCGCTGGTCGGGCTTACAGCGTGTCACACATGTCAATATGACAGGGCTGGATGTACTAATTATAATAAACCATACCACCAGTGATGACAGTCTTCAGGCAACAAATGTTGATCTCCAAGCAGATGTTAAGGTGGAAGATTATTTTCTGACTGCCATGCTTATCTGACTGTACCCACTACCCAACCGGCAGAGACATTGGCAGTCAGAAAACATTAGAGTCTTCCATCTAACATCTGCTTGGAGGTAAAACAAATGCCTGTATCCTACTTATGTAAACAACAAGTTGAAAAGGGCACTCTAATTTCAAAGCAGATGATGATGTGAAAGAATGTAACATTTTTTTGTCTCCTGGGCTTCTATGCTTCTGTCACAGCTTCAACCCTTGGGTAAGTTACTATCTGATCTATCAGTGACCCTAACAGTCAGACATGTTAGAATCTTTCACCCCAACATCTGCTTGGAGATAAACCATCTGCCTAGATCCCACAGATGTAAACAGCAGGGCAGGTAGGATGAGGTGGTTATCCCTGAGTCAACACCACTAATGAGAGGTTCCTATGTGGTATTAGCCATGACTCAGCCAGCAATGGGAATCCATTAGTCACAGTACAAGGTGCCAGTCCCAGGTTTCTATTTAAAACACAAGGGTCACTGCACACAGCCTCATACATGTAACATCCACTGGAGGGAGCAGCAGATATGTGACTGTTGGACATATGGCCATTGCCTAGTACATTAGACCAGCAAAACCTGATCTTACACTGTGTCTACATGCAGCTTGTGGTGTCACTCCGACAAGGTAAGTTTATAGAAAGATGTTTGTACACATATTGTATTGAAAATTTGTCCAATTTAACTGCAAGGCTTCTGTTTATATTGGATATTGTCCTGATATTGTACTGTTTTGAATTGATTTGATGTTTAAGATCAAGCAATCCTGTAACAGAAGTTCACAGAACTAAGCACCGGGAACATTTACAAGATAGCTGAAGTTTGTAGTACACATGCACGAATTT